ACATAATAAAATAAAAAAATGGGGTACAGATCTAAACATAATCCTCAACAAAATAATCTCAGATGGCTGAGAAATGCTTAAAGAAATGTTCAACATCCTTAGCTATCTTACACTTGTCAGAATGTCTGAGGTCAAAAACACAAGGGGCAGCTCATGCTGGAGAGGATATGGAGCGAGGGGAACACTCCTCCATTGTTAGTGGGAGTGTAAACTTGTACAGTCACTTTGAAAATTAATATGGTGTTTTTTTTTCCTCAGAAAATTGAGAATTGATCTACCTCAAGACCAATTATACCACTCTTGGAGATATACCCAAAGATACTCAATGATACCACAAGGACATTTACTCAACTGTGTTCATAGCAGCTTTATTCCTAATAGCCAGAATCTGGAAACACCCTTGATGTCCCTCAATCTAAGACACAGCAGGAAGAAAGTTGGCCTTAACCCTCATGGGGGAGCTAGGGTAGAGATGACCCCACTCCTCACCTCAGGAGAGGGAGAACTGACCCAATGGCATGGGCATAGGGAGCTGACTTTGACCATTGCCTGAGTGGGGACAGCCTTGGGTTACCTGAACTGATGAGCTCAGCTACCACCCAGGCCCACAGCTGGGCCTTGGGTTGGCCTACCCTAACTTTTACCTCCTCTAGGACCTGCTGGAGCTCATAAAGGAGTCCTGGGGAATGATACCCACAGAATCTCTATGACTTGGGGTGGCCTTAGAATATCTGAGAGGAGTTTCAGTGAGGATCCAGTGATGATGGTGTACCAGAGACCAAAGGCCTTGAACCAGAACTCATTGAAATGAACATTTGCAAGTAAAGTTGATTGGACAAAAGGGTATATTGTGTGACACACTGAAGGTTCCCAATGCCATCAGGACAAATGAAGAGGTGTTGAAGAGGTGGGAAAGATGGAGGAGTAAAGAGGGATTTTGTTTGTTTTGCTTTCCTTTGTTTTATTTTGATTTTATTTAGAAAATTTCTTTGGGGTGTGCTGCAGGAGTTAAAGGAGGATATGGAGGGGTGGGGAGGCGAGTGGAATTGGGGTGCATGATGTGAAATTCCCCAAGATTCAATAAAGAAATTATGTTAAATTAAAAAATATCATGAAAATTGCAGGCAAGTGGATGGAACTAGAAAAAATAATCCCAGACACAGAAAAACAACCACGTACTCACTCATAAATGATATTAGGTGTAAAATACAGGACAACCAACCTACAGTCCACAGCCCCGGAGAGGCCAAGGAACAAGGAGGGCTCTAGTAGGGACAGAAGACTCTCCCTGGGAAATAGAATAGAATTTGATGGTTATTGGGGGTGGGTGGGGTTAGGAACAGGAAGGATCAGCTGTGGGGTTGGATACTGAGAGAAATAACTGGAACTGGGGGTATTACTGGTACAAGGAGGAAATCTAGTGCAATGGAAACTCTGTGGGATCTTTGAGAATAACCCTAGCAAAGACTCATAGAAATGGGAGACATGGATCCTGAACTGGCCATCTTCTGTAACTGGGCAAGGCCTCAAGTGGAGGAATGGGGACACCAACCCAGAAACAAATCCTTTGACCTACAGGTTGTCCTACCTGCAGAGGATTCTGAGACCAGAGCCTAGCATTAAAGAGGCCAGAGAGACTTCTTTGTCCAATAACCAATGGGAGCAGATGCAGAGTCCCACAGTCAACATTAGACAGAACTTGGGTGGTCCTGAGGTGTAGGTGGAGGAGGGATCAGAGGAACCAGACGGGTAAGGGATACCAGGAGAACAGGACCCATAAAATTAACTGCCATGGACTCATTGGGGCTCGCAACCATTGGGGAGCCTATAGGGATCTGACCTAGGTTCTCTGCATATGTGTCATGATAGAGTAGATTGGTGTTCTTGCAGGATTCCCAACAGTGGGGGTAGGAGCTGTCTCTGACTCGGTTCCCTGTTTGTGGGACCCTTTTCCTTCTACTGGATTGCCTTGTTCAGCCTTGATGTGATGGTATGGGCTTGGTCTTATTATGGCTTGCTATGCTGCTTTTAGTTGAAATCCCTGGAAGGTGGGCTCTTTTCTAAGGGGAGTCAAAGTGGGGGTGAGTTTGGGAGGAAAGGGAAGTAGGAGGGAGAAACTGAGGGGAAGAGAGGGGGAAGAAATTGTGGTGGGGATGCAACATGAGAGAAGAACAAAAACAATACAACAACAAACAAAGAAATAAACAAAATTCCTTCTCCCCTTTGGGCAAGTTATGCAAACCGCAGGAAAAAGAACTTGTTCCAAACTGGAACTAGTAATCTATTTGTTGTGGAAACGACTATCCTAATGTTCTAATACTGCCTTGCACAGACTGGCAATAGACTAAAACACACCAGAAATAACTCCTTGAAAAAATTGAACATGCAAGCTTACCACTAGAAAAGCACTTGTCGAATTTTTGTACACTGCTGCAAGCTGTGTGGTGGAAGGAATCACCACTTACTTTGTATCTGAGCATCATTTCATGATGTAAGCGAGACCCTAGAGATAAGAGTGTTAAGCACAGGACTTGTGGTGCAGCTCTACTTTCTCTCCTCTAAAAAGAAACAAAGAATTGGATGGACATCCTTATAAACTGAGGGGTCCGAGTTGAGGGGTGCACCTGAGGAGTGCATCTGAGTGGTGCATCTGAGGGGTGCATCTGAGGGGTGTGTCTGAGGGGTGTATCTGAGGGGTGCATCTGAAGGGTGTGTCTGAGGGGTGCATCTGAGGGGTGTGTCTGAGGGGTGTGCATCTGAGAGATGGTGTGGTGTAGGGTTTACAGAGTGTACTTTGGAGCCAGACTCTGGATTAAATTTCAGTTCCATGATCTAACTGCTGATCAGAGAAAAGTTTTCAAGAAAATCCTTTTATTTTTTTAAATTAGAAAAAAATTGAGAACTAACTAGCCTTAATGTTTCTCACAATATATAAAATGAACACGGTCTCAAAGGCAATCTACTGGCCAAGTAACAACTCTTCTTCTCATTAGCTTAGTGTCCCTGTAGCCAGAGATGGACTATAATCAGAGATACCAGCCTCTAGCTCTTTGGACAGTTGGAGCTTTCCATATATTTTCTCACTGAGTGTGTTTGGAAATAGGAATTTCAGGCTGTTTTCCTTTAAGTTAAAGTATACTATTTATCACTCACAGTTTAACCAGTAATTCCAGGAGAGACAAGCAGTATGTCTCCATGGAATCCTTAAAAAACATTAGTTTATTTGATGAATCAGCAAGGACATTTATTGATTTAGAAATGTTTACAGGGATTATCAAGAAATGTTTTAATATTCGTGAGGAGGTCAAAATAGTGATTCTGTCTTTTACAAAACCTGAAAGTTTTGTAAAGAAAGAAAATGAGGTGTTTGAAATCAATCAGTACTAGTGGGGTAAGTACACCATGCTAGCCACAGAGAGGGTTCAGCTGACTGATCTCATTTTTAAATAGTACATGCTACAAAAAGAATATATATATACATACGTATGTATATATATATTAAAATAACAATAGGAAAAGTAAAAAAGGGTTCTGTAGCCCAGGGACCAGAGTTGGACTCTCTTCCCCCCCCATTGGTACTTTTATTGATGAGATGGTTTCAGGAACAAATAATTATTTTCTTAATAATGCTTCCTTATTAATAGCTACTTAAAGTTTACACGGATTAGATCATACAGCACCAGCTTTTGTTCTCACTTCTGATTGGTTCCCAGGGTTTGGGGAAGGGAAGCCGCCTCGCCCCACACCATTGGAGTCACTTTTGATTAGACTGCTAATCAAGATGCTTCTCCTGTTATTGGCTCAGATGGGAGGCAAACATCATGCTGTTTTCTGGAACTTTCCTCAAAGCACCACAGTTCTGGGCTGAGCCAGTTTCAGGGACTATCTGTGACCTCTGTCCCAGCTCCTTTCCAACACCTGCTTCATCAGCTGATAGCTGTGCTCCAGGTGGTACCCTGGGTCCCTCCAGTGTGTGCATTTTATTTTTAACTTCCACATAGAGTTGGGGCTTTGGGCTGGTTATATTTAAATAACCCTGTTTCATCTTGGGTGTCATGGATAATACTGCATCTAGAAAAAAAAATGAGTCCTTTAACACAAACCATGAGTTGTTTTAAAGAAGAGCTATACACAAATAACTGTGCAGGGGATACATAGGCTTTGTAAAAGCTGAGTACTGGTCAATAGCTGGGGGAGGACCACTGTAAGAATCACCATTATCTTTGAGGTTCCCTGGGTATGTTCAGGTTTCAAATAGGTGTTTCTTGTAAAACAATTTAAACAGAACATCAAAGGAGGATATGCTTGGACTGGTCTCATTGATAAGAAAAAATAAAGACTTGGTAAAAGCAATAATGCTAATTAATTTGTACAGGAGTGTAAAGGTCTGAGGCAAATAACTTTGGGAAGGAAATAGTATTATTTCTCCTTGGTCCAGACCAGGGCTTTTCACCTAAATCTGTTTGCTCCCTAAATCAAAGACTCATTTTTTTTTAATTAAATAAGAATATTTCATTTATTTTTGGTATTATTTTCCCAACTAATAAAAACAGTATAATTTTTTTTCAGCCAAATCAAGAGTCAGTGATGGAAGTAAGTGTTTAGCAGAGTAGACTTTTCTGGGCCATTTAACCTCCCACCTTCTAAACACACATCATGATATCCCTGGCTCAACTCCAGTGTACTTGTTACAGCCTCATTGTTTCCCCTCTTACCTTGAGACTGAAGTCTTCTCTCCCTCCAGTTCTCCTTTTTATTTCCCCATGATGCTTTTACTTTTATTTCAGAGCTATAGTTTTAAAGTTTTGGGATGAAGCATGAGCTGAGTAAATGTGTCAACACATGAAAACAACTTAAGCAATTCGTTTTCCAATTAGATTCTCTTAGAGAACTGAGAGGTGCAGGTCACTAACAATCCCCACAGGCAATGCATTCTGGGGAAAGGCAGCTCTGAGCAGCAGATGCTTCCCTGTGAAATAATGTATCACCACACACTCAACTTATGTTTCCAGTATGACCTTTATTGAGCAAGGACTGATGTGACATTTAACATCCATCAACATAAGGTTGCAAACTGTGCAGGTCAGCTAGGTTCTCCCATGAACAGAAGTCCATTTTAAATGCACCAGTGAGGTAAACATAAGTATTCATATATAGCTTTCTTAAGGCTAAGAGAGTTCTGTTTCACTTATTATTTTTGGCTCAGTTGGTACTTTGCATAATACATCTCAAGACATCCCCCCAGTGCCCCTCTTCCAACAGCTTAGGAAACTGGCAAATTCCCCAGGTACATACACAATCATGCATTTGAATCCCCCAAAGACTGCGGAGGAGGCACCCTGAGCTTGCATGCAGTTCCCTCCTATTGCACAAAGGAAAATACAATGTCTGGAGCCCCCATGGGAGAACCCATTCTGTTTTGAAGCTGTCAATCACATGCATTTTGAAATTGTCGTATGGCTTAACCTTTTGCTATGGACTCAAACTCTTAGTCACCCTGGGTGACTTCCTTGACTATAGCATGTGAAGTGACTTTTTCTACCTTTTTAGTTGACACTAGTTTCTCCTCAAAGGTCTCCTCATGCTCTTCGACCTTTTGAGTGACGGTTACAGATTTGGTGATGTATTTGGTAGCACCATCGCCCCCCTCGCTGGTGATTTTTTCTACCTTCTTGGTCACCACCACTTTGTCTTCGCTTCTGTCATCCCCTTTCTTTTCTTCCGCTGGGCTCACATCTAACCCATTAGTGACCACCCCTTTCTCCTCTTCCCTCCCACTGCCCTTTTCCTGAGTTTCCTGCTCCTCCTCTTTTCCTTCCACCTCCCCATTAATAGCTATGTCTTCCTTCCTGGATTCCTGTGGGCTGTGATCACTCCCTTCCTCCTCACTGCCCCCCTCCTCCTCTGCTTTCTCCTTCGCTTTCTCCTGCTGTGGAGGCTTCTCATCTTTCTCCAGGCTCACCTTTACCGACTTGGTGATGGTGATCACCTCCTCCACAGTTTTCTCTTTCACTGGGGACTCAGCCTTCTTCTCTGGCACATCTTTTGGCTTCTCCTCCTTTTTTTCCACCTTCTCTTCCTTGGGCGTTTCCTTGACCACTTCCTTCTTTTCTTCCTTAACTTTCTCTTCCTCCTTCTGCTCTCCTTTTCCCACTTTGGTTTCTGGTTTTGGCTTTACCTCTTCGACTGGTGATTTTGGCACAGGGGACTTGGCTTTCTCTGGCTTCTCCACCTTGATTTCCTCCTTGACAGCTACTTCTTCAACTTTTTCTTCAGATTTCTTTTCCTCCTTAGCTTCTACTTCTTCTCCTTCACCTTCTGCCTCAGTTTCTCCCTCTTCTTCCTGTTCACCTTCTTCTTTTTCACTGGAGCCTTCCTTCTCAGATCCTCCCTCTTCTGCCTGGTCTGACTTGGCACCTTCATCTTCCTCTTCTTCTTCCTCTTGGCCTTCTTCTTCCTCCTTTTCCCCTTCCTCCTCTTCCTTAGCCTCAGGAGACTTCACAGGAGACTTTTCAGCTTCCTGTTCCTCTTCCTCTTCTCCCTTTTCCTCTTTGGCAGAGGCTGCCAACTCCTCTGCTATAGCTGTGAGAGTGTCTTCCATTTCTGACTTCTCATCTTCTACTTTTGTTTCCTCGATTATCTCCTCCACAAATTTGTGTTGCACCTTGAGCTTGGGAGCCTCGACTTTAGTCTTCTGAATCTTACTGGATATTGTGACTGAGGGCTGTCGGTGTGTGTATAGAGGCCCGGTGATGCTTCCTGAAAATGTGCTAAATCTGGTCTCTTCACCCTCCAGGAGTTTTCTAAGGAAGGAATCAAAGAGGATGAGACACCATGGGAGGCTTATGTGGCCTTCTAATCTTCATTAACGTAAGGATATTCTAAAGTACATGCCACTTTAGAATAAATAGAGTCACATATGAAAAACATTCTGTCTACCAGTGCAGTGTCTACTGTCACTTCACTGATGTGTTATATCCAGTGGCCGATTCTCTGAGAGTGCCAGCTAGTCATCTGCTGCAGTATCTCGCCACTCACAGTTAACCACACCCAGACATTAAGTCCAGCTCTGCAGCAGTCACGCCATTGGTACAGCATGAATGTGTTCAGAAGATTCCCTAGTAGCCAACCTCCTCCATCCCCAAAATGGTGGCCTCCCTCATCATTTGAATTGTCAAGATTTCCATGAATGATTAAAAAAATAAAATGTTTGATTTAAAAAACTATTGGGCATAAATTGGAATGTTGATGAATTTGAATTATAGTTAGATGTTAATATAGGTGAACCCAGTTATAACTTGCTTTATTATTTCAGTGACAGAATGTCCAGTTGTACAATCGTGTGGTTTTCTTAAAAAGAAAGTGCAGTTTATTCTGGCTGTAAAGTGTTGCAGGAAATGATTGCTTCGTCAAGAACTGTGTGCTTTGAATCTGTTCAGCAGAAAGTCAGCTTTAATTGGTAACCTATAACCAGTCTGCTAATAAGGAGATCAAACCTCTAATTGCCTATACGTTTAGCTCTATATTTTCCTGTACATACATGCTTGTACGGATCTAGCTATATGAGTATCACAGATACTGTAGTCAGATAGGATGCATGTACATCATCCATAGACTTAAAATATGTTTATCTATAGTCTAATGCGTCTATAACTAGTCTCAGCCAGATGATGGCAACAGTATGCTGTAAGAGAAAAACAGAGGTAGAATGACCTGGTGTTTGTCCTTGGCATTATAAAAGAGTTAGAACCAGTATTAAAAATCAAAACTTCATCAGCCTGTCAGACATACAAAGACATTTAAAACAAAATGTTTAAGCCTATTGGTGTGGCCCTCGGCTACTTAAAAATACCCTTTCCCCATTTGTTTTTTTCTTTTTGGTGCATTTGGGGCTTTTTCCATACAATTATATTTTGATCAAATTCTTTGCTCTCCCCAACTCCTCCCTCTTCCTGCATCCTCCCTAAATTCAGTCTTTAAAGACGAACAAAGGTGGTAAAAGTGCATTTGCAATACTTAGGATTCTATTTGTTTTTAACTGAGCAAGGGAACCAGGTCTTTGAGCTAACCCCCTCAGTTTGGCCTAAGTGGGGAAGGCTGTGAGCCAGCAGCCTCTGCAGTGCGGATAGCACCCGGACCAAGGCTGCAGAGATACTCTACCTGTAGGCGGCGATCTCGATGTCCAGGGCCATCTTGACGTTGAGGAGATCCTGGTATTCTCTCAAATGACGAGCCATTTCCCACTTTGTTCCCCGAAGCTCATTTTCCAACTGCTGGATGGTGTCCTGAAAGGCACAGGGTATCTCCAGAAACTTCTTTCACAAGACACTTGCTATATTCCTCCCCCCCCCGCCCCCACCTCCACTGCCAGCTCCGTAAGTCGAGCGGATATCACTCTTAGCCCTTCCGATTTCTTTCTTTTATGGTAATGAAAGTCAAAACAAACCAACAAATATCAACCAGACTTTTCCCAGGCACTATGAGCAGGGAGATCAGTAAGCCTAGAACGCCCCTAAAGGGAACACTGGGATCCTAGGAAAGGTCTATTGGACCTGACACTCCATCCCACCCAAACTCTGGACTGAAGCCAGTTTTGAAAGCTTGTCCCTGTCGCGGCAGCGGGGTGGGGTGTGTATGTGTGGGTGAATACAAGAGACTATCTGTGCTTCTGCTTATTAAATGACGTATTTCTCGATCACCGGAACGTGCCCCTTTACTTTAAAGTAGAATCTACTGTAGGAAAGCAAGTTTTTGAAGGAGCTAGGGACTTAAGCAGCTGAGGCAGGTGGGTGGGGCAGGTAACGAGAAAGGGCGGGGCAAGGACCCTGGGGCACAACTAACTCCGGTCTGCGGCAGCGCTCGTGCGAGTTGGCGAGTCGCCACCAGGGAGCGCGACCAAGAGGGCTCCGGGCGCGCGCTCGAGTGTCGTGTCGGGGGCGCGCGGCGCTGGCGCCGGCCGGCCGCGCAGCCGCGGTTCCTACCTGGTAGCTGCTGAGGTCGTGGTTGTGGCGCTCCTCGATGTCGCTGAGCTGCCGCTCCAGGGACTCTTTAGTGCCACGCACCGACTCGAGCTCGATGCTCTTGGACTGCAGCTGGCGCCGGTACTCGGCGATCTCTTCCTTGGCGGAGCGGATGGCCTCCTTGTTCTGCTCGGCCGCCTCGGTGAGCTTAGCGTAGCGGCATTTGAACCATTCTTCGGCCTGGTGCATGTTCTGGTCTGAGTGACACTCGAGCTGGGAGCGGATCTCCTTCAGGGCCGTGGAGATGTCTGTCTTCAGGTAGTCTTTGCGTTCTACCGTGATGTGCGACGCCTGGATCTGAGCCAGCAGGTCGGCCACCTCCTCTTCGTGATTGCTCCGCAGGAAGGCCACCTCATCCTGCAGTGACTGAACCTTCTTGTCCAGCTCCACCTTTACCATCGACGACTCCTCGATGTCTTTGCGTAGCGCGCGGATGGCAGCCTCGGTGTCATCGCGCAGCCGCGCCTCCTCCTCGAAGCGCTCCTTGAGCCGGTGGATGTCTTCCTCTAGATGGTCCGAGTCCAGCTGCACCTGAGCCTTCTCGTGGTTCACCATCTCGAGCGTGGCGCGCAGCTCTCGGATCTCTTGGTCATAAGCGTCACCCAGCTGGGCGTGCGAGGCCTGCTTCTGCCGCAGCGCCTGGATCTCCGCCTCGATCTCCTTGTTCTGCTGTTCCAAGTAGTGCACTTTCTCGATGTAGCCGGCGAAGCGGTCGTTCAGCCCCTGCAGTTGCTCTTTCTCGTTGGAACGGGACAGCTTGTAGTCGCCGCCGGAGCCGCCGTTGAGCAGCGAGGAGGACTGGCTGAAGTCGAGGCTGCTCTCGGCTGAGCTGAGCATGGCCGAGCTATAGGCGAGGCGCGGGGCGAGCGCGCTGCGCTTGTAGGAGGAGGACGCGGTGCTGGGTGAGCCGCGGGACCAGGACTGCGAGCGGAAGCCGCTGGACGGGGACCCGCTCACGCGGCTGAAACTGGAGCGGGTTTCGGTGACCCGCCGGTAGGCGGACGGGTTGCCCAGCGAGTCCAGCGTGTAGCTCATCTTGGAGGCCGTGGGGTGTGTGGCTGTCACAGCGTTCTGCCGGCCTCGCCGCAGCCCCTTTATAGCGGAGCAGCTGGTCCCGGGCCAGGGCCCCGCCCCGTGGAGGCGGCGGTCGAGGAGGCGGGGACTGCGGGCACCGGGCCGGGGTGGGGGGAAGGGGAGACAAGCCCTGCGGTGATTCAGCGGCCGCTCCACGCTCCACGTGGGCCCGCGCCACAGTGGACCCCGCACTTGGGTGTAGCCCTGCCAGCCCTTCCCCAGCGTCCCCTTGGGTCCCAGACCACTTGTCACCCTGTAGATTTCCTTTTTCTGCTTTTCGCCTGCAGTTTGCAGTTCACAGCCTTGGTCTAAGTGTCGACCCAGCACCCGTTCTTTGTCTAGCCACTCTCTGGCCCGTTGGGCAGTTCTTCTTCGGCCTCCTGGCTGTAGCCTCTTTCTTCCTTACTTTTGGCCTTAGGCTTTGCTGTTACTACTCCCCCCACCACACATACAACCCCTTGTGCACCCCCTCTTACTTCTCACCCAGCATTTCCCTTGGAACCCTTTCCCCTGGGACTTTTTTCTTTGTCGCCTCATCTTTGACTCCTTCTTCTCCCCCCCCCCCACTCTTCTTTTTCCTTCCTCACTCTTCTTTATCTTCCCTGTCCACCCTTTCCTCCACCTACGCCTTGTCTTAAAGCAGGCGGAGATGAGCTGAGAGTTGTGCAGAAGAAAAAAAAAAAAAGAGTTTTTGAGGAATGGCCGACCAGAAACCCCCGGGATGGGGACAAAGAGGACAGGCTGGAGTAGTCATTTGTGTTAAAAGTGTGATGTGGCGCTCCAGTTTGCTTAACGGTTGGGGGACCTCCGCAGCTTCCAGCAGGTAAGGCGCAGGGACGCCCAAAGATTCCGCAGCACCACGGACAGCGCCCAGGCGGGGCGGTGGGATGCTGCTGGTGTCCTGCCTACCAGAGCCCAGAGGAGGGTCATTCCTGGCTCATCTCTCCCAGTGAATACTAAACCTGTTTGTAGTGACTGTTTGTTTGTAGAAACCAAGCTGGAAATCCCACGCTAAGACTTCTCCGCAGTGCAGAGTTGGCACAATGAACAGACTGTAGATTTTTGAAAACAACTAAAATTCCTTAAACTCAGTTAAGGGAAGTAGAGACTTGAAACCCAGTTTGACTTTACTAACAAATGATGGATGCTGGGAAAGGAAGAGACACAGGCCTGAAATTTGAAGGTTAACTATTCATTAGGAAGGGGAATTTGAAATCCAAGGTGAAAAATCCAGGGAGATAGAATGTATGATAAGTTTGAAAAATGCTTTGTCATCTTTCTGCCTAGGCACCACTTTTGCGTGCTGTAACAATTGATGAGGCAACTCAATTAGTTTTAAACCAATAGAAAGGTTACAGAACAGATTCACCCCAGTCTTAAATAAGCCAGGCATTCCCCCTCCCTTAAAAAAAATAAGATGTATTTCCCCATGTAGGTTTTGATGATTGATTTGGAATAGGTCAGCCATCTTTTGAGTATTGTTTATTTAAACCAACATTCTACAGAGGTTTGGTTGTGTATTTTTAAATGAAAATGCCCTTCTATTTTGGACTACAGTTTGGGAAAATTCAGAGTGAAGAAGTTCAGAGTCCTGCCAGACAGAGTGAGGGACGGAATGAAGCCCTAGTCCTAGAGTCAGAGCTGAGGGCCACATGCAGGAGGGGCTTGCTGTAAACCAGAGTAAACCACTGTCTAGAAGGAGGGAGTGCAAACTGCAGTCCTTTTCTGGCATGTATTTTCTAATTTCTGCTTCATTGTGCGATGGGGTTGTATTAATCAGTAGGGAATCACAGATGGCTTCCTCTCCGGAGACTTTAATTTTGTAGTTTTATAAGTTCCAGGCCCATGCATTTAAAGGTAGAAGTGAGCTTTTTAAAAGGAAAAGGAAAAGGGCTCATCTGAGGAGTTACTTTTGGTTCGAGAATGAGAAACTGCAGCATTGCAGGCAGGCTGCAGACTGCGGGGGTGGAGGGTGAGGGGGTTGGGTATGAGGTCCATCTGATTTGCTGAGTGTTGGTTACTGATGAAGCAGGGAGAGCCCAGACTCAAGTCACTAAGAGAGTCACTCCACAAAGTAGAGGACTAACTTGTAAATATTGCAAAGCTCAGATTTTCCCATAGAAAAATAAATGAAAATGAAAATTCCATGGGTTTAATGTGGGCTAGCAGGGTGGGACCTCAGCAGGATGCTGTCTAGATACTGCCACATCCCAGCGATGCAGCATTTATGCCCGAGCTGTGTATTGCTGCCTGCTTTTTACTAAGATAACGAAAGCTGCCAGCAGTATCTTGCTGCACTCACAGTAAGAGCTCTATGCGGTGATAGCACATGGGTGACAAACAGGCTTCAGCTGTGAGTTTTCTGTGGGGCTTTGGCAATGAGATGACGCTGCAAAGACATTTACAAGGAAACACATGTTTAATTTCACAATCAGCCTGTTTTGCCTCATATCTAAACTAGCTCAGAAATTGTTAAGCATCCAACTGGTTATAGGGAGGAAAATGTTGCCTGCAAACAAAGTCATGGCCGGCTACTTTGGCTAGAGCTGGTGCTTGTACCTTAACATTGTAGCTTCAATGTCACCCGAACTGTTGATTAGTTTGGTCCATTATGGGATGGCGCAGGGACTTACTTATAAGCCCCTCTGTTGAGGGGAAATGTGCTAATGGTTTAAACATTATTGTTTCAGTTGTACCACTGTCTTTCGTTCTATACTTTGCTCCCTCATTTCCATAGTCCTCCTGAAGGTGACTTGAAGGTTAAACCCGCCACCCTATCTCTTTAGTATTATTTTTTGAAAAGGGGCCATAGCAGGTATTCTTCTTTACTTTTTTTCCATCTTGGGCTGTTGGAGAAAATTTACTTCCTTAATGTTTTTACAGAAAGAAATGTTTTTGCCTGTTCCCCCCTCCCCAACCCCCCCCCCCCAGGTGACATTATAGCTATAGATCCGGAATGTGCTAGCAACAGAGAGAATGAGAGTGAAAGGGTGTCTGATTTACCACACTGCAGGGCCAGCATTGAGCTTACTACAGTACTTTTGTGGTTTATTCTAAAGAGGGAAGCTGCACATATGATCCAGATATGAGTTTTAATGAAATTATCTCCGAATTGTTGCATAAGATACTGTCTGTTTTGAATCACTTTTTTTTTTTTGAGAATGCAAGGATATTTTTCTGTTTCTACATCCTTCACTAGGACAAATTTGAATGTGAACTCACATCCAGAGCCATCACTGTGAGGAGTCTGAGGGTCTGTGAAATGAAAACTGAAGTACAGTCTTTGCATAGGAGGCTCATTTACCGGGCCATAAGTGAAGACATATGTTTAAAAATGAATCAGGGGTTTTTCTCCTCCTGTCTACTTTCTGACTTTTAAGATTTTAAAGAGTATATATACAAAACTGAGTGGAGAATGAGAGCAAACAAGGGCCCTGGGAAGAAGGAAGAGGAAAGAGAGGGAGGAAAAAGGAGATCGAGGGAGGGAAGGAGGGAGGGATCCACGCTGCACGGTTGGCAGGTTGCTTCTTCTGCCTATGATGACATCCCACAGCCTGCGGTGACAAGAGTCCCATCCCTGCCTGGGATCTGCTTCTAGAGCCTGCAGTGAAAACTTATTTATGACTCGTCCTTTGCTAATTATTAAAGGGGTTGTTGATGTGGGAGGCCCAGAACAGTGTCTGCCGGGAAAGAGAACATGAGGGAAAAGAAAACCAGACCACTTATTTCTGCTTGAGCCTCAGATGTCAAACTTTACAAGCAGGCCGGCCTTGCTCATTGGTCTCACTTGTAAAGGAAAATGATAATGTCCTCGGGAGAGAAAGACTGTCCCACCCACAGGACAACTGGGCCATATGTGTATGTTGCCATTGTTTTTAATTAGAACAAACCCCTGTGGCCCAGCATCCTGTTTCTGATATTAAGTCACTGACAGCATGCTCACTTCTCTTACCAAATACTTTATACATTGAATACTACATTGTATTTCTGACAGTGACTACCATTATAAAGTTTATTTGAAGTCTTCAGAAATCTTAAACTATTGCTTCCTTATGTTTCCTAGACATGGACTGGATCAGCTTAGGACTTTTCTGTGGAAATTGCATGTTTTCTGGGGAAAGCTTGGCTTTCTGCTTAAAGCCACCTCTCCAGTTTTCCTTTTTGCTGTGTAATGCCACTATCGCTCTGCTGTGAATCAGTTCCATGAAAGGCAGAGGAAAGGGACTCGGGCTTCATAAAAAAAAAAAGAACAAAAACAAAAACAAACAAACAAACAAACAAAAAAAACAACAACAACAACAAAAAAACACACCAAATACCAGAGCTTTGCTGAGACTAATTCTATAGACAAGGCTCAGCACACACGGGTTGAAAAAGTATTATGGTATTAATTTACAGCATGTTTTTAATGGTCAAGCTGGCTTTACCTCAGAGTCAAGATGGCTCTTGACAAGGTGCGCCTGAATTCTTAAAGGCACAGTATGTGAGACTTTGTCCCAGGGCAGCCGTGTAACAGTGCATCTTAGTTCAAGCTTTCTGTGGTCTGGCTTAGTGAGACAGGATTTGTATGGGAGGCATAAGACTTTGTAACCTAACAGATCTGTAATCTGTAGTTTGGGGATCAGATTTCCAAGAAGCACTTAAATACAGGGATGTAAATTTAAAATTCTCATCTAATAATTGTCATCACTTCAAACATGAGCTCTTTTCCTTGGTCTTGACCATCCTGAAAAGCTGTATTCTCTAGACAGCTTCTGTAGAAGGCTCACAAGCAGAGTTCAGGATGCCTCTTAGATAGTCAAGAACTTTATAGATTTCAAAATATTTTATTCATTTGTTGTATGTAAAATAGAAATTTACAAAGTGCAGAGAGAGACAATGATTTATCTTTTATTCTAGTTCATAAATGAATTTAAATATATTTGTTTAAGTAATGTTATACATATTTTCAAAATGAATGAACAATGCAGTTCCATGTGCCATGGAACCTGGGTTTGAGCCCTGTATTTAACCTGAACTTTCCAGTCTAAACAAAAATATTATTATAGATTCTTTAGAACAGGAATGAGTAAGCAGGACAGGTGTGGGT